AAAGCGTGCTCCACACCTCATCTCTCTCAGATTTTGAAATGCACTTCAGATTCTTAAACCTTGAGTCGAGTGCTGTACTATCTTTAGAAATCTCACATTGATACCTTCTTTGCGTTTTGTCAAATCTGCAGTGAAAGTGTTCTTAAAACAAACAACGTGCTGGGTCATCATTCAACTTGGTATAGCATGAAATATATGGAAGAATGTGGGTAAAACAGAACAGGAGACATACAATTCTCCCTCAAGGAGTTCAGTCACAAATTTAATTAACCCATTTTTAATGAGTGTCATCAGCATGGAAGCATGTCCTCTGGAATGGTGGCCAAAGCATGAAGGGGAATACAAATGTTTACCATATCTGGCACATAAATACCTTGCAATGCTGGCTACAATTTTTTTGAGTTAATCGCATGAGTTAACTGCAATTAATTGATGGCCCTAACGTAAAGCAGCAAAAAAAGGACATAAACCCTTTTCCCCATCTCCAAGTCATCTTTAAGCCTGAAACCTTTAGTAAATCTTTGTAATCTTTTAGTAAATCTTTGTAGACCTTTTGGTTCTTTTTTTCTATCGGGTTTCCACTGATAGACTGACATTACTGCTGGCCCTAAGTATCATGAAAAACACTTTTTTTCAGGAAACTATGAGTGAGAAAGAACCTTATTGTTCTTTAAAGGGTAAAATCCTGAAATCTATGGCAAAATTCACATTGACTTCAGTAAGGCCAAGAATTCACCCATTGTCTACACTCCAAAAATAAATGGCCCAGATCTTCAGCTGGTGTAAATTGCACATAGCACCACTGACTTCACTGGAGCTGATGTACACCAGCTAAGGATCTGCCTCACCACATTTCAATGTATTTGTGCTACTATCACATTTTTTTTTTTGCCAGTGTGGACATGTTACCACCACATTAAAGACCCCTATATTAGACTAGCGGCTTGATTCTGATGTCCTTTATGTTGATGACACTCAATTGATTTAAGTGGAGCTACTTCTGATTTTCACCAGTGATGGATCAGAATCAGACCCTGGTATCTAGCAGGATTAAAACATAGTTCTTTAGTATATTTGTAACATGCCTTTTTTTTTCAGTCCTCATAAGCAAGAAAAAAGCTGTGATAACACAAATGGGTTACAGCCATATTAAAATAAGGTTATTTTTGTACATTATGGACACAGGCTGAAAGTCCAGAGTGAATATTTTCTAAGTTAATGGTTGGATATTGTCTACCAGGCTGACAAATAGCCCGCTGTTGTCCAAGAACATCACTTATCATGTCCATTTATTCTGCTGGTATTTTGTGTTTACCAAAAAAATAAAAAAGGGGGTGGGTGGGTTGCTCTTTAGATAACCATAGTGTCATTGAGGAGAAGAAAAGGCCAATAAAAAAGAGTTAGTATAGCTTCAGATCAGTTACAATAAACCTCTGCAAGCCTAAACAGGCCTTCAGAGGAAACTAGGATAACACCATAGTATGCTTCAGGTTACTATAGTGACCAAACAAGGTTACTCTGGTGACATTCATTTATCTGTATATAGTAACTCCTCACTTAACGTTGTAGTTATGTTCCTGAAAAATGCAACTTTAAGTGAAACAATGTTAAACGAATCCAATTTTCCTATAAGATCTAATGTAAATGCTGGGGGTTAGGTTCCAAGGACATTTTTTGGGGGCAGACAAAAGGCATTATATACTGTACAGTACTGTACTGTGGTGGGAAGGTGCCCCTGGCTTACCCCTGGGGCTGAGGTGCAGGCTCTGGGAAGGAGTTAGGGTGTGGGAGGGCGCTCAGGGTGGGGTGCGGGGTCTGGGAGGGAGTTAGGGTGTGGGAGGGCACTCAGGGTGAGGGTGTGGGAGGAGGCTCAGGGCTGGGATAGGCAGGAGGTGCAGAGCACTTATCTGGGGCAGCTCCTGTTTGGTGCAGGAAGTGTGCAGGTGGCTCTGCGCAACGCGGCGCCGCCCCCATGGCCGCGATTCTGGGAGCCCCTGGCAGGCAGGGCCACCTGGAACGCAGGGGCTGTAGGGGCTGCAGGGCCCTGGGCTAAGGGGGCCCCGGGGCCCTGGCCTGCATCTCTAAAGCCCCTTTCAGAATGCGGCCCTGCGAGCATGGGCAGGAGGAGCAGGGGCAGCCGTGCAGCCAGCGGCCAGAGAGAAGCCGTATTTTTATGTACATCTATTCTCAACAAAGTCCTTCTACCGTGGAGGAAGTCAACAAGGCAGAACCTGAGCAATCTTATTTGGGAAACAAATAAAGGCTTCAGAATGACAAATGCTTAGCACTGTGTCTGAATAAGTAATGACACCCCAGATTAGGCTGTTTTCAACCTGGAACAGTTCTATTTGGAACTTTGGAGCCAATAGTTGTTTTATGTAATCTATATAATGAGCTGGATTCTATTTAGATTTACACTAGGATAATGAGGAGTAACTCTACTTAAGTCCATAGTTATTCTGGATTTACACCAGTATAAGAAAGAATAGCATTTGTTCCTATATTTTTAATTGGCAAACTTTATTTAAAACATCACATTGAGAAACAGGAAGTTGATAGACCAGTTGCTGTGTCTGGCACAAATCCAAATGGCAAACTGCTAAGTGTGAAAATGTTGTTGAGTCACAGTTTTAGAAGCTACAGTCACAGGTCAAGAAATCTTTCCTTTAGCTGGCATTAATGGAAACCCTGGAGAGTTGCAAGGATGCTTTATATATATATATATATATATATATATATATATATATATATATATATGCATTTGAACTTTAAATGAGATAAGTGAGAATCAACCAATAGTCTCTTCATGTTTCATTCTCCAGAACTAAAATAACCATAATCTTGCTAAAATCAACACAAGAAATGTCATATTTAAAGGGCACATGTGCACAGAAAGAATTTCAGAATAAAGACATGCTTCCAAGCTTTGATTGTTAAGTCTTTGTTCAGATGGGCCAGATCCTGAGCTGGTGTAAATCAGTGTAGCTTCATTGACTGCAATGGAGCTATACCAATTTACACAAAGTGAGGATTGTCCCAGAGTTGGAAAACCCAGTACTTCCTCTCATTTGATTACTTCTAATAATAAAACTGGTCTTGTATTACACAATATCATTTAAAAGCCACATTCATTTATAAGAGTTTCTTCAGATGTTTTTAATGAGTCTCTAGCCTTTCTGCATTCTGCTTTCTAACTACACACGAAAAATAAATGAAGCAGATCACACAAACTATAGCCAAAGGTTGTTACATCTTTGAAATCTTCTGCATTATGCCAATAAAGCAAAACCAATAAAATTTATCTTTTTAATGGCAGGCTCAAGACCATAATAACTAATGATTCAGAATGCTGAAAGCTGCAGGGAAGCTGCATCATTTCATTCTCTTAAAATGTGTCCTTTTTTCGTACCATTTACTGACACAATACTTTTTGGGGGTGGAGGTTGGGAAATAGTACAATAGATTTGGCAATTGTTTTTTATCTAGTAGTCACACCTTAATAAAGTTGTATGTAATGCCCAATGCAAAATGCAGATCCTAACATCTTTATCTTAGCAAGAAAGTTGTCTTTAAAATTAGCACACTTACACACAGTCACATCTCTGAAACAGCCAACTGCACTTCAGCCCTGTTGCAATATAAATGAGTCTAACTAAGCTGTATCTCAGATTATCATATATGGGAAAGGGCTGGGGAAAAAGTGTTCAGCTAAGGCACAATATAGAGAGGTGGAAATGACTTGGGGTTTGAATCAGCAAAAATAACATCTGAATTCCTAAGGTGAAATTCTAACCCTATTGATGTCAATGGGAATTTTACCAGCACCAATGAGAAGGGTGGGTATGACATACCTACCTATAACTGCCCAATTCAAGTTTTGCCTCAGGACTGAAAGGATCATCATACAGTGGGGTAATGCACACCAGGGATGTGATTTCTAAAGCGCACTCCCATGGTGCATATTAATTGGTCCATGTAGACCCTGCAGGTGCACACTAAACGTTCCCAAGTGCAATAAGGAATATTTGGTGCACATCAGCAGGGGTCTACAAGGACCTATTAATGTGCAACACAGCATGCCTTAGAAATCACATCCCCAGTGCTCATTACTCCATCATATAGACAAACCCTGTATATGCACACGAGTAAGAATTAAGAACTGCTCTTGTGTTTATTGAGGAAAACACAGGACACAAAGGAAGTCAACACTTTTTATTGCTCTGTTTTAAATGGAGCCACCAAAATGTAGCAAGAAAATTAGAGGAAAATATGTTTGCACTTGGTTTCTATGATCTTCTGAAAATTTTCAAGAACAGGTAGTGACTTTCAGGGAAAATCCACCCAAACCACATCTCCTTCCTCCCTCACGCACAGTAACTAATGAAGGGTGAAAGCAGAAGTGCAGAAATACCAAAAGAAGGGCTGTATTCAACTCCAATTTCCAGCTGAGCTGGAAAAACAGCATCAGCCACTACTCTTGGGTTCTTATAAAATATTAAATCAATATTTAAATCAATGAAGGTTCAGCAATCACTACAAGTGTTTACCTAAATCAGAACTGAATACCAAAAGCTGATTGTCTTTCCTGAACCATTTGAGCAGATCTGAGTCCTGTAATAAAACACTGAAACCCCTCTGAACGTTCCCCTAAAGAATGCAGATATGGGCCCTTTGGTACATGTTTCTGAGCGGGAAAAATCTTTTTTCCAGCATGTGTCCTTCAATGCTCAGCTCACTTTGTGTGGGATCCAATTTATATCAAAGCAGAAGTATCAATTTACAGAAAGATTAGCTGGTGATGCATGTATCTCTGAGGATATCGCTCCTCCCTCCTCCCACTCTATATTTAATAAGTGCAATGGGGAAAAATCCATTTGTGTGGAGTTGTGCATAAGAAATAAGACAGATGAATTTCATTGCCTGGTGTCAGGTTGTAATAAGATTATGCAGGCAGAGCTAAAAAAAGAAAATGTTCACAGCTTATAGAGAAGTTGGAATAGGTCATAGTCACAGCAGATGGACAGAGAACTTTGATAATTCAGGAGTTACTGAGCTAGCATGCATTAATGCAGGTACCTGTAACTGGTTAAACTTCATGACAGTCATAAAATCCTAATTGTGGTTTTCAAGGGTTCTGAATTTAACATAAAGTCTTATTGGTAACTCTATACCACAGATACCACAAAAAGTCTGATTAAGTCTACTCTATATAGATTCCTATACTGGCTTCGTCACCACAGTATCTGAGTGCTTTTCAGTAGTGCATTAAATTACATGACTAACATCTGTCATGTATGGTTCATTCTTTCTCTCATCCTCTTTCTAAGGGGAGAATTGTGTGTGTTAGGTAGAGTTTTTGTTTTGGTATTTCTTCTGTGCATGCGTGTGTGTCTGTGTATATACCCTGCTGTGCATTTATATTAGAAAGTAAAGACAGAGACGTGCACCTTGTACTTGGGGCAGGAAGCTGTGAAGTCTGTGATGGTCATTACTTCTTTGGGTGGCAGGATTTCATTCCACAGTCTTGGACCAGCCCCCAAGAATGCTATCTCCTGCACATGCTAAAAAGTTTCATTGTGCCTGAAAGGCAGTGTTGTTGACCAGGGTCTTCATCCCATGTTTTAGTTGATCTTGTAGAAATGCTGGGCCCAGGACACTGAGTACCTTGAAGATAGGGACCAAGACCTTGAACTTGACTTGATATTCTATGGGAATCCAGTGTAGAGAACAGAGACAAGCTTGGTTTGGTCCTGGTAGCCAGTGTTGCTGAAAAGATGTGCTGCAACATTCTGTACATAGTGGAGTTTTCCTAAGGGTTGATGACTCCATGCACAGATATAATGCATTCCTGTAGTCCAGCTGAGAGGTGATGAAGATGTGCATAACGGAGGCCAAGTCATAGTCCACCAGGGTGGGATGGAGTCTGCTAGCCACCTGGTGATGGTAGAAAGTGTTATTCATGGATACTGCTATGTGAGAGTACAGGGTCAGTGAGGAATCCAGGAGCATTCCTAAACTACAGAATCAATTGACCAATTGTAGGTGTGTACCATAAGCCAAAGGAGACTGCAGAGCGTGCAGCCATGGCGCAAAGTAGCTCAAACCACCAACAGAATCTCTGTCTTGTTCAGATGCAGCTTCAACCAGCTATTTTTCATACATGAGCTGTTCCCATCCAAGCAATGAATCATCTTGGTAGTGATGGGCTTGCATGGTGAAAGATAGGCAGAACCGTGTGTTGTCTGCATATTGCTGGCACTTAAGTCCATGTGGTCTGATCAGTCTAACTAGCAGCTGAATGTAGTTGCTGAATAGGAATGGAGAGAGAATTGATCCTTCTGGGACTCTATAGGCGATGGGTCTTGCAGTAGAGATGCAATTTCCCATTGCTACTCTCTTTGGTTAGACCTTTAGGGACAGGAGTCTTGTATGGCAAAAACTTTAGGTCTGACTTCAGCAAAGCACTTGATCACATAACCATAAACATGTGCTTAAATCCCATTAGATCAGTAAAGTTTAGAGATGGACTTAACAACATGCTTAAATGCTTTGCTGAAATGAATCCTGAATGTTGTATCTTCTGAGAAAATCTTGTAAGCCCCCCAAACTATGTTCTACAAATCACTGGTAGTTCATAGACTGAAACTCTTTGACCCTCAAGACTTAGTTGATTGGGATGTTGGAAGGTAAATCATCCAGGAAAAGCACCTTTGTCTGATTAAGTGATTGAATGAAAACATTGAAGAACCAGTCTGTAGGCAATCTAAGTAAAAACACTTGCTGGGACCTTCTTTGCTTGCTCCTTGGACCATGTATGGGAGAACACCTCTGGTCTTGTATGCCAGAGCAAACACTGATGTAACCCAGAATATAGCAAACAGCACATGAATATCCAATAGAAAATCATGAGTACAAAATTTAAGAAATTTTAAGAAATTAAGAAAAGAAACCAGAGAGATCAATATATTTGGCTGCCAAGTATCATTACCTTGTATGACAGAGACAGGATTAATCTAATTTTCAATGAGATGGGAGAAGATCCAATTGCTTTTTTGCTCTGTTCTTTTTTTTGTCCCCTTTAAACATAAAAATGAAAAAAAAAAAAAAAAGGCAAAATAAAAGTTCTATGCCTGATTGTGTTCCAGCTAAAAATAGCATAAAGAGCCTGGCTTTTTATAAATGACTTGAATCAAGTTCAACTAGTGCCTTTTCTTTCTCCCCTTTCATCTTTCAAATGGCCCTATTTGTACTGCTCGGCTCTGCACCCTGCTTAGTATTCTCAGTCCCCATTTAGAATACTTACTCCGGTATTTTGATACTAGGTTACTTTTTTCCAAAGGATCATTTACCAAAAGGGAAAAGGCTCATTGAAAGTCATCTGCATTAATTAGAACTAATTTGCATTAAAATAATTTCATACTACATTAATTTGAACATGTGTAGATTGTGTGGAGGTAGTCCTCCACAAGCCAGTGGGATGACTGCTTGTCTGAGTTGATGGCCATACTGTTTAAATTTAGGGTTTGCTAGGGCTGGCTTTTGTTTGGACAATAATTTCTCTCTCTCCCTTAAGAAGCATAGGGAGCCTTTAAAATAATTCCCTAAACATTTGTTACTAAGGATTTTAACTGAAGACTGGCTATTTCATCAACGTATTCTATAATGGAAGCTCTATGATAGGAAGGCTAGGACAGGATCTGTAATGGCCTGGAATGTGGGCAGCAGAGAGTAATCAAAATGATTCATACCTTCTTAAAATGATGGTATGGTGAAAGGATAATTAAATTAAACCAAATTAATCCTAGGTGTAACTCCACTGCTTTGGATTTATAACAGGTGAATTTGGCCCATTAGGTCTGTTGCCCTTGGAAAAGAGGAGACTGTGATAATATGATAAAAATTAAGGAGGCTTAGGAAGAAGAGATTTAGGAAATAAAGGATGTCATCTACAAGTGGAAAGAGAAGAGCAAATAGGGCATTGCAGTTACCCTTTATTACACAATGGGTAAAATCTAAATAGAATAAGTTATGTGGAGGAGGCCTTTAGTAGGTACCATGTCTAGCAGTGCGACACCTGCAATAACAACACTGGAATGGGACAAAAGTGGAGGATTGAGGAGGCTGAAAATTTAGATGGAGAAAAGGGGTAAAAAAAAAAGTCCATCGGACAAAAGGAAAGTTCTGAAGTGGAGTGATTTAAGGAAAAGAAGAACAGAAACCTTGGGAGACATGGCAATTAAATTCATTGTTGCCAAAATACTGATATTTGATATAGATGTCAGGAGATATGGCTGTGTAAGAGAAGGAGGCTCGAGAGTTCAGGTTTTACGTGGGGGATAAGCAAAGGCAGCTAGTATTCTGATGTACAGTGGAAGGGATAGCCCATACACATTTTATATCAGGAGGCCTACTATTTTTGGTAGCTTTGTTGCATAATTTTTTATGTTTGGGTAGAACCAAAATTGCTTTGGACAAATTACAGTTAAACATTAAAGAAGTTTATTTTTGATCCCCCCTCCACCAAAAAAAACTTTCTTCTGAAAAGCAGGAAATGGCATCAGGTATTTCCAGAGGGACCCATGTGCTTCTTTTTATTTTGTTACATCAGTAGAGTTTCCAGGCTGCTCTCTTCTAAATGACAGCATTTAGACTGGAGCCAGGAAGCATCAGAGCTGTGTTCTTCCCTCATCTCAACCCATTGTATATACACATACAGTTTTACTTGGCTGTGGGCTTGCTTAGGGACTGGAACTACTATCTTTTATCCCTACTGCCTGTCACTACAAACTGCTGCAATCTCTGCATCCTTGCGTAAGTTGGGGACGCATCAAGATGACCACCCAAAACGCTGAGCTTAGCTTGATATTTTGGTTTTCTTTAATTGTAAATGATTCCATATTGCAAATGAATCATCAATCCCTCCTGCAGATACCCAGAGTCTCTCTCTCTTCAACACTCAGCCAGACAATTTGGTCCATACCTGCAACCGCAAAGGCTTGACGGCCTGAGAGTCCAACATCGGAACAGACTTGATGAACCCATGTAATAGGGGGTCTGCCTTTGGGCTGCCTCCACCCCTCGGTTGGTGGAATTTTATCCCAGATGTTACAAGCCACCCGGAGAACGGCGTTCGCTGGAATGTTTTGTGGCATCCTTGTGACATGTCCGAAAAGCGTAAGGTGCTGCCTGCGGACAATGGCCCCAGTAGTCTGTAGACCCGAGCGACCATAGACATGTGCATCACAGATGAAGTCATTCCACTATATGCCCAATATACAACGTTGAATTTTGTGTGGAAAGCCTCCAGTTTTGTACAGTCTGAGCAGCGCAGTGTCCATGTTTCACAGTCATACAACAGTATGGGAAGGATACAGCTCAAATAAATCCTGAACTTGATTGTCATACTAAGATGTTGATTCCATATCCCTTGTAAACTGCCCACGGCAGATGCTATGATGCAAATCTGATGGAGAGCCTCCATGTGAGAGTTGGAGTCTCCCAAGGACCAATAACTGTGCATCCATTCAACACAAAATAATGGCGCATGAAAATCTGATCCAGTCCCATATGTGGAATGGAAAAAGCTTGAATTAAAGCTGCCCATGGGATCCGGCACTGAGGCTCCAATTCAGCAAAGCATGTGCTTCAGTTCCACTGAAGTCACTGATCCTGCAAACACTTAGGCATGTGCTAAACTTTTACTCATTGACGCCACATGCGTGAAGCTAAGCACTGCATAATTATAGGATCAGAGCCTAAAGTTGTACTCATGGGGACATCTATCAAAAGTTTCAAAAGGTTTGAAAGTGTTTGCACATATTCTCCTATCTGTAGCTAAAACTCTCCAAAAATATGATTTAAAGATCTGTGAGTCAAGGATAGCTGAAACTGTTTAATTCAAATTACGAGGCTTTGCATAGACACATTTCTGATTAGGCTATTTTGAATAATAAAATCTGAAATCAAATTTCATGGGTTAGTCACCCTAGTATGAGACCGATTTTTCTATGGTTAATTTCATTAAAATGATTGAAGCAGGAGATTCTGGAGATTAAATGAATATGATTTAGAA